AGCAAGATGGCTACACCTGCTTTTTGACTCATTTGATGCATGGTAAAAAAAAAAAAAAGTTCCATTTCTTGAGTTTTATTTTGTGCCTTTTTTTTTTTAAAAAAAAGGTGTTATCTGAAAGCAAGATTGTAGGAGTTTGTTTTCTTATCCAGTGTCACTCTTTTTCCTTTTATTGTATTGTTTAATCCATTTGTCTTTAAAGTTATGAGTTAGGTTTATATATTCCTCCATCTTTCGCTAATAATGGTTAAGATATATTTTTTTCTTTCTCTGCTGTAAATATAGTACTGTGTTCCTAAAGTTACCTTAATCTTAATCTTTTTTTAAGGTAGCCCTGTTCCCACTGGTTTTCTTTCCTTCACCTCTGCTACCCTTCTCTCGTTTGTTGCCCCTTTCCTTTTAGGATTTTACTTGTTAGTTCCTTTTTCTTAACTGCTTTTATCGGTTATTGAATTCTTTTCTCTCTTTTCCCCTCTCAGTCAAGTAGATTCCCTCTTCTTTTATCTTTAACTTGTTCTATTCATTAGTTTTTAAATTTCACTTTTTTGTGCCTTTTCCAAAAAATATTTCTCTTACTCATTCCTTTTCATCTGTTCTGTTTGTCCACTCAAGACTCTCATTCTCTGATTCAGGATCCTTGTAATTATCTTATCTCTCTTTTTCTCTCTATTTCTCATGTAATCAAAGCTTTCAGGGTATCAATTCTAGGCTTTTCCCTCTAGATAGTTTCTGTTACTGCCTTGTAGGTCTTGACCAGTGAATTTCCCTTTTCCATTTTGCCTGATTACCAGAATGATACCAATCATCGCAGGTATTCGAAAGGATACAGTGCATTGTTAGGACCCTCTCCTCCATCACATCCCGGATGGTGCACGCCACCACTGATCTGTATCCTTCTCTGGTTATCTTTTTCATGTGTCCCTGAAAATCTCCTCCCTGGGTCCATGCTCTCCCAGGTGCCACTTATCCCCAGGAAATTTAACTCCCCACTCCAGAAGTCAAGTAGACTTCTCAAGCACCAAATCCTCCGGGCCACACCTAGTACAATCTCCTCTTCTCCCTTTACAAGCCATCTGTTGTCACTCAAAGGAGCATTCATGTGGAATTTCTTCTTTCATCCAAAGTAAAGCCTCCTTTCATCTTCCTTCCCTTACATACTCTCCCTCTCCTTCCACTTCCCTGTCAGCTCTTCTTATTCTAAGACCACAGAGGTCACCTCATTGCTAGCCCTTTATTTGACTCCTTCCTCCTTTTCATGTACCCTCTCGTATTGCTAGTATTGTAGTCCCACAAAAAATATTGATTCTCCTGTAGGCAGAATGTCAGCAGGGGTTCTGCCCATAATGTTTCACGCTCACCTCCCCCAAACTTCTGCCTTTATCCCTTTCTCATTTTGTACATTCATAAAGAATTTTCTTACTTGTCTCTCGGCTGTCATTATATTGCTGTTGCTGTCTTTGGCTGTGGTATTTATTCACTCCTGCATTTTTGTTATTTGGGGTCTTTGAGAAGCAAATATTCTTTTCAGGTCTAGTTTTCTTCTTAAAATGTTTCACATACCTCCTTACTATTGAATGTTCATCTATTTTCATGTATGATTAAGGCCAGATTTGCAGGACAAGTCATATTGGGCTCCATTGCTCTTTAGAACACATTATTCCATTTCCTTCCATGTTTTCTAAGATTCAGAATAGCCTTGCATTATTTGAATTTTCTTTATTTTGCATCTGAAGGTTTTTCTCCTGATTTGATAAATTTAATGGCTATGTGTCTGGGAGTTTGCAGACTTTTTCTTTTTTCCTGGAGGTGATTTGTGAATTCTTTTTTTTTTGGGGGGGGGGTGACCCAGGCACAGACCTTTATTTCAAACACTGGTGAGGTGGGGAATGGGGCAGGGGGCAGGACAGGTGGGCAGAGGACATACCCTCCCAACCCAAGGCCAGGGCCTGCCCTTCCAAGGTGCACCAGATGGGGCAGATCATAGTGAGGGCCAGAGGGACACAGTATGGACACCATGGGGGAGCTGCTCCACTGGCTGGGGCAGCCAGGTCCCCCCAGGAAAATTAAGAGGAGGGCACAGCAGGGCAGGGCCCTCCCGCTGCTTCAGGCCTAGTCTCCCATTTTTACTTTAGAAGTCTGAAGGATGACCACAATGACCCCAAAGAAGCCAGTGGCACTACCAAAGATCTCTATAATAAGGATCTTGACGAAGAGGCTGGCATTTTGGGCATCATCCAGGACAGCTCCACTGCCCACAGTGCCCACTCACACACCACAGAAAAGGTTGGACAGCCTCCTGGTGAGGCTGGCACCAAACGTGGAATAGCCTGCATGGTGGTTATGGCTTCCAGTGGCTTTGGAGGTGGTGCCATTGAAGGGCTCTGCCATGTTGCTGATGACAATGGCCATAGGTGGCCAGAGCCTCGTAGAAGGAGATGCTGACCAAGTTCTTGGTCTTGATCCTGGGGGCCTTGACCCTTCCACCAATGATGGATGAGCCTATGGTGTGGATGACCCAGGGTACTCTCACCACAGAGAGGGGGATGGCCAGCCCTATCCCTAGCTTGGATCACATGTAGGGTGACAGCTCTGTGAGGAACCATGCCATATCAAGCCAGAAGCCCAGGTGGAATATTGTGTAGCAGATTCCTACGACAATCATGCAGCTCCAGAAGGCAATGGACAGGCCGGAATAAAGCCGTGTGACTCCTGTCATGGCGGGGGCCAGGGCTGAAGGGTCGCGGTCCAACCTGAGCTTGCTGAGCCCTGCTGCCTCTGCCTGCCCATCCCCACCCCCAGTTTGTGAATTCTTTTAACTAATATTTCATTGTCTTTTCTATGTTCAGATATTCTGGGTAGTTCTTTTCTATTATTTCCTGCCTTGTGGTATTAAGGTTTTTGGTACTCTAATGTTTTCAGGAAACCTATGATCCTTAGGTTATCTCTACATCCTGTCTTTGAGATCAGCAAGCTTTGCTTGCATAGTGAGCACATTTTCTTTTAGTGTTATTATTTCTTTGCCTCTCTTCTTCTAGATTGCCCTTCACTTCTGTGCATTTGCATTCCCAAACTATTGTTCTCTTTTGTTTCTTTGGCGAGACTTATTGTAAATTCCAGTTTTTCTGTTCTGTCCATTACTTTTGCTGTGCTTGACATAAATTCTGTCATTCTCTTTTGAACTACTCAGGAACAGTGTGTTGTGGTTCCATGCTCTCATCACATTCTACGGAGTCCCCTGCTTCATGTGTTGGATAGTTTTCCTTTGATTTGCATTATTCATAGATGCTTGATCCATTTACTAGATCTGGAAGCCATATTTCCTTTTATTGTTAAATTTTTTCCTTGTTGATTTATCTGCTTATGTTCAATGTCTTTGAATTTTGTTCCTCCTGAGATCTTTGGCAATTTCAGTCTTTTTTCCCCCTTGATTTTCCCCTATCTACTTTCTGACTCTGTCCCTCTGATGGTGGTGGCTTCCTTGGGGGTTGGATCACAAAATCTCTCATGCTTCTCCTATGCTGGGCAATAAACAGGTTACCAGCCTAGGTCTCTTCCCCAGGTGACTTTTAGATGGTCAGAACTAGCCCCAGCTGGATCATGGGCTCTTGTCCTCAGGTTTAGTGGGGTACTGCCCTCTTCCCCCTTCCCCACAGTGTCTTGCCCTGGTGTCTTCTTCCACTCGGTTCTCAATCAGCTGTTTAGAAAGCTGCCACAGTGGTGCTATGGTGTTGTGAGCCCTAGAGAGCTGTGGGGCTTGTCCTCCCTAGTACTGACAGTACAGATCTATTCAGGGTCTGTGTTATGGGGTTGCGACTCCAGTCAGGCTTTTGTTTTTTAAGGCTTGTTGTTTTTTAAGGTTTGCAGCTCCACTGGCTATCTATTGTGGCCAAGGCAAACATCTGCAACCTAGAGCCTGGGGTCTCCAAAGCATTGGAAAGAAGGAGGGGGATGAGGTGTAGGGATAGCCTTTTTAAGCCTGTTGGTCCCTGGCTCTGCTAGTACAGTCTCATGGCTGGTAGTCCGGGAGGTGGGGGGTGGAGGTGGTGCTGAATGTTTTTTTTTTTAATCTTATTTGGATTTGGGGTGCCCTAGACTATGGAGACATCTGAAATTGCTTTATCTTTGGCACATGATTAATGTTTTGGAGAGGTTTGAGAGATCTTGAGGATTAGAGAAAATATCTACTCTTCTATCTTGTTCACATGACCCATGGATCGTTATTGCATATTTTACTTTTCAAATAAGTTATATTACACACATCTAGTCTACTTGCTGACCCTCATATGTCATTCTGTTTCCAGTTTGTATACCTTTGCACAGGCTGTCTCTCATACCTGGAATGCACTTTTCCCCATACCTCCACCTTTTATAATCCCTAGCAGCGTCCTTCAGAAGGGCCACTGTCTACATATAAAGCCTTTCCTGATTCTCCTAGATGCTAGTGGTTCTCGCTGATAAAATTACCTTCTTTTTACCTTGTATGTATCTTGTACTTATCTATAAGTGTAAATGTTCTTTCATCTAATAAAATATAAGTTCTTTGAGGGTAAGTTTTATTTCATTTTTGTATTTAGATCCTAAGTTTCTGGTACATATTAATAACTTAACAAAATGCTTTTTTGAATGATAAGTTGCTAGTCTGCAGCAGGACTGTTACCTCCTTATCCTTGGAATCTATGACACAAGTTCACATTAGCTTTTTTGGTTGCTATGTTATATTGATGACTCACTTTGTACTCCACTGATCCTCAGAAATTGTTTTTTAGACAAACTGCTGTCTAACAAGTATAGATGTAGCCACCTTACCCTTTCCACAGGGGGCATGGTCAACCATCATCATTATTCTTACTGCTTAGCTAAAGTCCTATTCCAGTGCTTCTTTATGGCATAGATTCTCAAAATTTATGCTAGTGTAGTATATACCCTGGCATGTCCTACCTACTAAACTAGAAAACTATTAAGTATGAACATGGTGATGTCCTGTTTTCCTGTTGTCCAAGGACCATTGTAGCAATGTTTGGAGGTGCTCATCACCAGAAGGTTGACCATCAGGGGATGAATTTATTTTGGCCACAGCAAGTCATGAATGCCATCTACTAAGGCACAGAATATTGACATATTGAAGTGAGTAAGCTATTACCCCTATGTATGCCATTAGCCTCCTTCAAGTTGACAAAATCCAACTCTTAAAATTTTTTTTCGCAGCTTATTTAAGATAGACCTATGATCATTTTCATCATTTTCTTCTGCAAGTTCTTCAAAACATCTTAAAAGTGTGATGCCCCCAAATGAAATTGCCATTTTAATTGAGATCTGACTGGAAAAGAGTAATAAGGTAAGATTGCTTTTTTCTTTATCTCACTTATATTATTTAGTATACTCTCAAAGTTAAATTTTCAATTTGAAATTGTAAAACATTTTTGATTCATATTTATTTCATGATATTTTGCAATCCATATAGCAAAATTTTCTATTTCATTATCTAGTTTGTTTAGACTCTGTGATTTTAAAAATTGCATATTAGTTCTTTCAATGACTACCATTCAGCCAAGTGATTTTTATTTCATTTAGGTCACATTATTCTCTTGTCCTATCAATATTGTTTGGGTTTTAAATACTGCTGTCATATTATCTAGCATTTTATTAATATTACTCAAATATTCAAATTGATCTGTGATCTCATTGATTTGTACATTGTCTCCAATAATGCAGGTTTTAACTCATCCGTACTTGCCCATTTGTGCAGCTCTTGTCCATGTCCTAAACCATAAATTCACCACAGGGGATCCACCCTACATGTTAGTCCACCAAACATCTGGTCACATTTTAAGAATAATGGATAACAGGTGGACAACCTCATTCCTCTACTAGTGAGAGCAGACTGGTAATATTAGGAGTTAGGCTGTCCACCTGTTATTCATTATTCTTGTACTATGACTAGCTGTTTGGGGTAAGCCTAGCACCAGCACCCTGTTAGTTCAGTGTTGCTATTTGGGCAAAGTGAGGCACTTGCAAATAATTAAATAGTTAAGAAAGGGAGTTTTCCTTTGCCCTGACCCAGCAAGGATACAGTAGCACTAGTTTCTCTTGACTTGCCACTCTCTTCCCCCTGTCCCCTGCCATATGGAAATACATCTGGTCAACTGGGCAGAGTATGGTGATTCTTGTTTTTTACAGATATCTACCTAATTGGACAGGCCCCAGCTCTCTTTGGGTGAGACTTTTTAAGCCCCTTGGGTGAAGAGAAAGCTGTTTCAAGAGAAAGTTGGAAGGACAGCTTTGTTACCTTTTAGGGAAAACTTATTCTTGTTTCTGGGAAATAGGAACCGTGGTCCTATTTACACCAATACATCTTTTTCACTCATGTATTTCTAATGACATTTTTAATTGATGTTTTTTAAAGTTCCTTATTATGCTCATTCCTACCTTGTGACTCTCAAATAATCCTTTCATTAACATTATTATGTTATTGTCAGTTATAACAGTGACAAATAAAAGCTGCAATAGTACAGTGTATTTTTACCCTTTATTGGTGGCAGCAAAGACTCTGAACTTAGAGTCAAGAGAAACTTTGGTTCAAAGCCCACCTCCAACATTTAGTACCTATGTGACCTGTATGACCATGGGCAAGTAACTTAACCTCTGTAAGACTAAACTTTCTCATCTGTGAAATGAGAACAGTAATACCTGTAGTAACTTATGTCTGGAGTTACAGAAAGCTTAAATGAAATAATGTTAAGTATATGTAAACCTTAAAGGGCTGTATTAATGTCAGCTATTATTATTATTATTATTATTGACACATTAATCTTATAAGCAAGGCAGGTTATTTAACACATAAGAAATCAGGCTCAAGTCAAATTTCTTTACCAAGGTCAAGTGTTGGAATTGGGACTAAAAATCAAATCTGAGTTTTGACTTCTATCTAGGATTCCTTGCCTTTCTCTTATATTATACTCACTCAGTTATCTAATTAGATCTGTTATCAAATGAGAGTTCCTTTAGTGATGCAAATTGAAACCCATTAATCATTGTCTATCCTGTGTGTGACTTTTGTCCATATTCTGCCAAAAATTCACAAGTCTTATTTTTTCTTCACATCATGAGAATACCAATGGAGTAATCTCTTGTTCTTGCCACTTGACTGGTCCTTTTCTTCATATCACGTGATTCCTTGATGACATCCTTTACTCCTCATTTTTGGAATTTTTCATTGTCTCTATGTTACAGCCTGCTCGTATCTGCCACATACCTTTCCATTGCTTTACTTCTTTGAAGGTTAGGACAAAATCTCTTATATTTTAGCTGAACTCAAAAAAGCTAAGGTAGCTGTATGATTTCTGTAAATATAAAAATGATAAAAAGAGATAAACAAGGAAATTATATTGTGTTTAAAGAAAGACATCATAGATAACAAATTAATATCAATACCTAACATATAACACCTAATAACATAGTATCTGAATACTTAAAGGAAAAGTTAATCAATTTAGAGGGAGAAATAAATAATTAAACTATAATAGTAGGAGAATCTTAATTTATCCATTTCAGAGTTAGACAGATCTAACCAGAAGCTGAACAAGAAAGAAGTTAAGGACCTGAATAGAACTTTAGAAAAATCAGAGAGGGATGACTTCCAGTTGCTGAAAGGGAATATAAATCAATTTCTGTACTGCCAGGCTATGCATGGCATCTTTATAAAAACTGACCATTTGTCAAGGCATACAGATCTGGCCAAAAAATGTAAAGAAGCAGAAATACTAAATATTTCATTCAGTGATCACAACACAATAAAAATGACTTTCAGCAAAGGGCCTTTAAAGAAAAAAATTAAAAAGTAATTGGAGACTAGTAGCATGATTCTAAAGAACTGATGGTAGGCCAAAGAACAAATTACAGAAAATTAATCGAAAAACATGGCAATAATGAGTCAACATGCCAAGCAGTATGGGAGACAACTAACATAGTTCTGGGAGGAAAACTATTATCTCTGAATGCTTTTATCAACAAAAGAGGCAAAGAATGAATCAGTATGTAGAGCAGTTAAAAAAAAAATTGAACAATAAATCAATATCTCCCAACTAAATAACAAAGTAGAAATCTGCAAATGAAAGAAGAGATTAAAAAATTGAAAGAAGACCATTGAATTGATGAACTAGGAGCTGGGTTTTAGATAAAATAATTAGCTAACTTAGAGAAAAATGGGGGAGAGTGGCAGATAAGAAAACCAAATTGTTCAAATCAAAAATGAAAAAGAACCCACAACAACTGAAGAAGAAATAACATGCTTAAGAAAAATATAAAATACTCAGATTAATAAAAGAAAAAATCAGCTGTTTAAATAACCCAATATCAGAAAAATAAATTGAACAAGCCATAAATATGCTCCTAAAGAAAAATACTCCAGGACCAACTAGTTTCACAAGAGAATTCTTGTGAACAATTAATTCCAGTGTTATAAAAACAGATTGTAATCATTAAAAAAAGGCACCCTTATAAGCTCTTTTTATGATACAAATATAGTCTTGTTCTCTAAAGCAGGGAGAGATAAAGGTGAGAAAAAATTAGCAAACAAGATCTTTAATGAATGTTAATGCAAAAAAAAAAATATAAACAAGTAGGTTATAACATTTTAGAAAGATTATACATTACGGCCAGGCTAGACTTTTATCCTTTTTTGTCATTTTTGCTAATTTGATAAATGTGAGGAATTGGTTTAATTTAGATTTCTTTAATTAGTAGTGATTTGGAGCATTTTTTTACATATAGCTATAGATATCTTGAGTTTCTTCTCTTGAGAATCGACTGTTTATATCTTTTGACCATTTATCAGTTGAGGAATAACTTTTTTTCTTGTAAGTGAATTAATTCTTGGTATATATTAGAAATGAGACTTTATTAAGACATTTGCTGCAAATGTTTTCCCCTAATTTTTTCTTTTTTAACCTTAGCTTTATTGCATTTGTTTGTTCAAAAATTATTAATTTTACATGACCAAAATGATCCATTTTTTATTGTGATCTTCTCTATCCCTTATTTGATTATGAACTTTTCTTCTATTTTTCTTCTGTTCACAGCTTTTAATAAAATTGCCATTTTTCCCATGTTTCTCTAATTTGCTTATGATTTGAACTTTTATATTTAGATCATGTATCCATTTTGAGTCTGAAGTGGTGTTCTAATTTCTTCTGTGCCGCTGTCTAATTGTCCCTGCAGTAAATCCATACCTCAAAAGCTGGGTTTTTTTGAATATGAGGCTATTACAGACATTTGCTTCCCTCTATTGTATAGCTAACCTTTTCACTGATCACGTTCTTTATTTTTTAAACAGTATGCAATTTTTTGGGGGGGATGGGGTGGGAATTACTGTTTTCTGGTATAGAGATCTAGCACTACTGGGTTCCCTTTGTTTCCATTTATTTTTTCCTTAAAATTCTTTTCCTTTTTTGTTTATGAATTTTGTTATTTTTTTCTAGCTCTGTTATTTGTTTAATTGGTATGGCATTGAATAAGTAAATTAATTTAGGTAGTGTTATCTTTTATTATGTTGACTTATCTTACCCATGAGCTATTAATATTTTTCAAAGTATTTAGATCTATTTCTGTAAACAGTTGTTCAAAGTTGTAGCTACAGACAGTTCTCTATGTAAATTTGTATTACACTAATTTGACTTTATGCAAAGAATTCTGAAAGAAATCCTTATACCTAAAAAAAAAAAAAACACCTATGGGCAACTAGGTGGCACCATGGATAGAGCATTGGGCTTCGAATCGGGAACACTCATTATTCATGAGTTCTAAACTGCCCTCAGATAATTACTAGCTGTGTGACCCTGGCTAAGTCACTTAACCCTGTTTGCTTCAGTTGGTCATCCATAAAATTGTGTCTAGAAGGAAATGGCAAACCACTCCAGTATCTTTGCTAAGAAAACACAAAGCATTGGACATAGCTGAAACAACTCAAGAACAACAGTAACTTTCTGTACAGTACTATGCTCTTTCTACTCTTGTCCCTTGGTTCAGAGCTCCACAGCCTCCCACCTCCACACTCCCACCAAAAAGCAAAACAAAACAAAACAAAAACAAAACAGAAAAAACCCTCCTCCTAGTGAAAATAAAATGGATTGGGGAGAAACTGCTACTATTGCATTACAGAGCTAAGAGGAGACCTTTGTCCCATTCTGTCCACCTGCCAATGTGTCTGCACCCTGCACATGTTTTTCTGTCCATCTGCACTTAGAGTTACTGCATGTCTGTCCTGGGCCCCATGTCATTAGTCCTCTCCTGTCTGCCTCTGTGTCCGGCCCCCATGTTTCTGCCCTGTGTGTTCTTCCT